TATAAGGCATCTCGACAATGCGAAAAAGTACGTGAATATTCTAACGCATTTCCATTTTAATGTTTAGGTACCGTTTACATACTACAGAACGAGTGACTATTGACTGATTTTAAATACACCATAATATAATAAATTGATGTATCTAAGTAGTGTGTCCCATTAGGTTAGGCGTAGGGTATTTTCTTAACTAACTATTTAATATTTATATTAATAAAGTTTCAAAGAGTTTTAAGGTCACTGTAATAGAACTATTAAATGAAATCAATCAAAAATGTATATTTGTCAAGACTTTCATTTTATTACTTTTACATTAAAAATAAACAATTTTTTTTTTATTCTAATTTTTTTTTTTTTTTTTTATCTCTATCTTTGGAGTAATGAAAAAATCTTGTTATTCAGCTTATAACTTAAATTAAGGCCTTAGTGCATTGATCATTTCATTAACTAACTATTTTATTTATTTTATTAACAAACTTTCAAAAGTTTGAAGATCACTGTAATATATTGAACAACTTAAGTCAACAAGTTACTACATATAAATTGTATTTAGTAAATGAAATAAAGTGAAATGTATATAAACCAAATACCGCGAAAATTTTGAAAATAAATCATCATTTTTAAATCGTCACTCATCGCAACTAACAAACGTAATTATTATAAAATATATAGATATAGGTACGTATATTTCATGAAATACGCAAAATAAATGATAGTTTACACACGTAGAGAAAACAAGTAAAATTTGCAAAATTAATTCACTTTCGGCATTATATAAATTAAACAAGAATAATGACATAAAAAATGAAGATTAATCAATTAAAATATTCTTCTCTGGTAAAACTCTAAAAGTGTTCGACCATGACAGTCATAAAAACTATTTGGACCATGGTCTTATACTTTTACAGTTTTAATAAACAAATACAGAATACATTGAATTATAATTACCGATTAATTTATAAAATATTCCATTCTGGTGTATTAATTTATATGAATAATGTATTGTATAGACTATTGTTGCCTACCTAAATACAAATTATAACTAATATTATTGTGAGTAGTTATATTAATTTATATTTTCTTACATTTAAAATGATTTGGTTATGGAATAAAAAATATATTACCTCTTGGATTCGGTAACGCACGTGGAAGCCTAATTACCTAACCATTATAATATATTACCTATGAATACAAAAGGTTCGCGTCCTATAAATAATATAGGGTAAACACAAACTTCCAACGGATAATTTTTTATTAAATGAAATCAAACATAATTTTTTTATGATAAAACTAATATATAATATAGGTATTATTCACGTTTACACTCAAAGTCATGATGTAGGTACATTTATTTATTCACCTATAAATAACAATCTCTTATTGTAGCATTTTGGCAACCGGTCTTTTTGCCAAAAGTCTAAAACCGACATCTTATAGTGACAATAGGCAGATACCGCTGGAGCAGCTATCCTCGGAGGTGAAGGTGCCAAACCGACACCCGTATTAATGCCTCAAGAGAGAACCCAGACTAGTTGACTTGATGACTGTGGATGCTGTTTCTGTTTTTCTTCAGATTTCCGAACTGTTTGTAATCTAATGATTTTATTCACACGAACTTGCCATTTTATCAAATGCATCGTTCAAACGCAAAGCAAAATTACCAGCTGACATCACTTGGAGACGTTAACGCCGCACCGGTTAAAGGTATTGCACTCAATGTTGTCATTGCCGTGAAACTGGATTCGTGAATTATAAGAGCGATTTTCAAATCTTCTATCTGTTCATCGTTTCCACAGAACGTGGAAACATTGGGTGAACATAATGCAATTGCTAACGATATGTAGAAAAACACTGCATATATTGCTTTCATTGTAATTGGCACGTAGGTACAGGACAAGTTGTGAAAATATTCCAAGAGGTACTCCTGATATTCGTGTACGAGTCGCAATGTGTCGAGTGAGCGTCTGTAAACACACAATACATAAATGTTATAATATACGTACAAAAGGTTAGATAAAAAGGTTAGATATTTAAAGATATGTGTAATTTAAAAATCATTATCGCGGTAAATTATCGTCAGTTTCATGATTTTTTGAAAGAAATAGAAACAGAGTTTTTTTTTTGTTTTATTCATTTTTCTACTTGTGATAAATATAACAAAGAATCAAAAACATAATTTCCATTCAACTTTAATCAAAAAATAATTTCTGAACTTAAAATCCAATTTAAACAATGTTTTTCTGACCTTGACGTAAAATCGGAAGAAATAAATATTTTTTAAAACCCGTTTAGTTGTGATATTGAGGAGTCACCTCCTACCCTTCAAATGGAAAATTTTTATTTACAAAGTAATGATGCACGGAAAATCAAACATTGTGAAGAGACTTTAGTTGATTTTTATAAATTTCTCCCAGAAACACAGTATAAAATTAAAAAAAAAAAAATGCATTTGATTATATATCTGTATTTGCTACGACTGATTTGTGCAAACAAACTTTTTCCAAATGAAATATATCAATGAAATATAGATCGGCCATGACTAACAAACAGTTGGAGTCAATTTTGAAAATTGGAACTAGCAACATACAACCTCAATTCGATCGAATATTATCAGAAAAACATCAACTTTATACTTCTCATTAAAAAAAAAAAAATTATTAAATTTACAATGTATATATTATCATTTAAATTTACACCAATTATATTTAAGAATATTTTAGACAATATTTTATAAAAAGATTTAAAGTAAACTGATATTTGTATACCTATATTTTCATAAAGTAAAAATTATATGTGTAATTACTTTTGGCCCGCAAGAGCATTTGAATATTTTTTGTATCCCTTGAATAAAAAAGTTTGGAGACCCCTGTTCTAGAGACCTAGGGAATATGATCGTTATAACCGAACTTCGTTATATCCGGATCTTAAAAAGTAACATGATTTTCTTGACAAATTGATTTATTAATTGATTTTTTACTGTTTAATTTAATTTAATATTACATTGTATTTTAATTTCACGTATGTATGTATTTATAATTTTTATAAAAGTACATATTATATATAGTATATAGTATATTTTACGATTTGTTGGAAAATATCTATTATAGTGTTTGTTTATAAATTTGAATAAGATTTTTTAACAAAATTAGAAATATTTTTATTAGCATTATACTTCTAGCATATTTATATCACTGTTTACCAAAACAAAAGTACGCTAATGATCAATATAAAAATGAATTTCCGAAATTGATAGTAGTGTAGTGATCCCTCACTATCGTTTACAATTTTAGTTCGACGACGTTGATGTGTTGCATTGGATAGGTGGTACAGAGAGACAAATTACACTGTCGTAATTATAAGTAATTTATTTACGTTTATAAAAAGTATACTAGTTTTATATTTGAATTAGAAATTTAATGACAGTTTGTTAAACACCTGCCCGCGAGATTAGTTGCTAATACTTAGTACTCACAAGAGTGTACGTCGTACTGGCACTGTGCTAATTCTAATTTGGATATGGAAGGAGGCTCGTATATATACAAAGTATCCAGTAACTAATAGATACACTTTATAGACTAGGAGGTGGACCAAAGGAGTACCAGCGGATCAAAGAGTACCGACGCAGGTGTTGATGTTGGCGTATAATCCTTGGGTTCAAAACTAGAAACATTTTTTTTTTGAAAAATTGTCATACAACTTTGATTCTCGAAATTGCCGAAAGTGGCAAAGTAATTTTATAGTGTCATCTGTATCTGAGATCTAATGTAAATTAAATATGTTTAAAATATATTATTACAAAGTAGTAAGACGGTCGGCGGTTTAGTACAGTACTTTGAATACGATTTCTTCGCACAAGATACATTATCTGTTGCAGATGAGAATTATCGCTCCAGAGGAAATCAAATTAACTACACAATGTACATAAATATTATTAATTGCAATAGGTGATTATAAAAACAAATTTTCGTTTCAAAATAACATAGCTATATCCGGATTATCGTTATAACCTATATCGTTATATACGAATAAAAGTACTACACATAACATATAAAACCAAATAAATACATTGATTGGTAGGAATCTTTTTATACGGAATAGCGTTATATTATAATACATATGTAAATAATGTATACATGATAAAAAATGTTATCAAATTTAATATGTATCATTTTGTATAATATATTATAATACTGTATTGTATTTATTCAATTGTTGTATTATTTTATAAACATTATTTATATTGTTATTTAATTATTATTAATTAATTTTTAATATTTAAATGAATTTTGAATTATTTTGTGCATATATTATTATTACTACAACAGAAATAGGTTGACAAGTCAAGCAGGTATCAGGTTAAGGTAAAAATTAATGTGTGGCGGAATGGATAATTTATTTTAGAATCAAGGTGGCAAATTATAAAGGATGTAACTAGTTAAGATGGCGCGCTTATCGTAATTTTTATCCTACTACTGAATATTATTAGTTGAGTACAAAATTGATTAATTGTCTTCGATTGTAATACATATGTATATTCACTTACCTCACTTTGTGAAGAAAGATTGATTTCGTGTCAACAGAAAAGCTGGTCGGTGTTGTCGGGTTTCGCAGCGGGCGCCGTCGACGTGGTCATCTGTGTTGATCTGTCGTGTTGCGCTGAGTGTAATCTATTGTCTGTGCGTGGCGTTTATATAAGGAAGCGATTGTTTCATCCCCACTCAATTGTTGATATACTTAACGTCAGCATTGATTGTTCACGTTTGTTCATCTCTTTTTGTTTGATCGATTATCGGACAGTGCGCATATGCGTACATTTTATGTCGTATTTTGCATATTGTCGTTGGTTTTTCGGCACTATTTGCACGAATACAGTGTTTTGTTATGTCGTATGTTCGTGAGTGTTATTATCGTCCATTTGTACAATATTTTAGGATTAATATTTAAGTAAATGTTAAATTGTGCGTATGCGAAGAGGATGTGTTTCTGTCGTGTACCTAATACTTGCTTAGTATAGTGATGAATTAAATATTTGGTACTACGACTTTGTAAGTTAGTATAATATTTATATAGTTTCATGTATGTAAGTGCTGTAGTGAATTTTTGATGATTTGTTCTTCTGAATTGCGTCATGATATATTGTTGCTGTTTTTATTCGCCCCTCGTGTAATTTCAGCAGTGGTAATCTGTTTCTTAGGTGCTTGAGTAACATATTGTCATATTTTGTAGAACCCCTTTCTTAGTTTTGTCATGTGTATATGTGTCATTTTCCCTTTGTATGACATTTTAGTACCATACAACAGAAAAATCACGACTACAATAGTAAGTTTTGTACAAATATGTTTCACCGTTACGAAAAATGAAAACCGCACCAGACAGATAACAATGACAACACAACGATTGGATGTAGTCTTGTCATAGGTAACGTTGAATCCCAACCAATCAGCGATGAAGATGACCAGCCAATGTCTTATAATTTCTTTATATCCATATATGGGTATTTTTTAGAGTATGTACGTCTCGGAAAGATTGCTATTAAGGAATGTTGGTTGCTCCTCCGTTCTCACCGCTATTTTATTATATTAGAGTCTAGACGAATAGTCAGCGTGACTGCGGGACTATAAAATTATTTTGTTGCGCCTGTATTTTATAGTTTATAAACCTTTACATTGTACAATGAAACTTTTTTATGTACGATGTTGTTGTTTTTTCCATGAGTTGTCGGCCACTCGGCTCGTCTGAAATAATATTAGTTTTATAGACCGAGAGAGCAAAACAAAATATAAAATATTTTTATTCTTTTAACATCAATGATTCGTCTTAGAAATTATTAATATATAATATATATTATGAATAATAAATTTTAAATAAATTTATGTTTTAATACACGAGTAACTAATCTACAAGTATGATAATTACCTTTTTAATACATTTTCAATAATATACACTTGATATTAATATTTTGTTAGCTGTTTGGTACAACATTGTACCAAAGAAATATAATCTATTTCCATTATTGCTGTTACGGGTTTAATAGGTTTTCTAAATTGCTTAATATTACAAAGACGAAACCTAAGAAAATCATTTTGTACTTTATATTGTACACTAATCTAAGATCACACACAAAGGTTACGACAAAATCACATCGGAATTGATATCGGGCGTTTAAGTGACTAATATTAGAACGAATACTTAATAGGAAAAGGATATTAGAAAAAATACTTAAACTCAAAGAATGAAGGTGTGTAAATTGTCACCATTTCAAAAAATTATCTTGAATATAGCCATTATAGGTAGGTATAAATGTATAATGCATTGTGTGATAATATAGGTAACTTTTTAAGAAACTTCAAAAAGAAAAAATTTCAATTGTGGCGTTGAAATGTAGAACTCTACTTACCTAATATTACAATACAAATAAGTATCTTCGATATCTATCTAAGATATTATTTTCATTGTTAATTTTAATGTTTATATACTATGTTACAAATATTTTATGTATTTGTATAACGTATGATGATTGATGAATACATTTTTTGTATTATCTATTTTTTGCCAAAAACAATATTATATAAAAAAATATTATATGTTGTATGAGGTATTCTTACAACTATGATATAATAATGGACTAACTCAAGTTTCCCTCCCGCGAAGATTCGAAATGCTAAATTTGTGCATGATATCCGTACATAAAACCGATATAAGTATTATTGAGGTTTCGAGATAATATTAATATCACCATTTCACGTCCTACAATTCAATCGTTTCGCCTTTCACGAAGAATTTTAATTTCGTACCAATACTCATAAATATATACGATATACCTACCAATATATTATATATTTTATAATTATACGCATTCGGTATATTCGT